CCGGGCCTGATGGGGAGTGCTGGGGACAGCAGAAGTGTTTCCTGGCAGGGGCATCCCCTCACCCAGGCGTGGGGCATGCAAGAGCCACTGGAGAAGAGTGGTGGGCTGGGCATGTGGGATGCGGGAGGGAGCTCCCCAGCCCGGTGCAAGCAGCGCTGCAGCAGCCTGGAGCAAGACCTGGCAGCCCCAAAGACACCAGGGGCTGCAGCAACTCCTGCTGCTGCCCCACGACCGAGTCAGATGGCCCCAGTGCAGCTAGCAGCCCCCAGCCCGGCTGGGGTGGAGGTGAGACAGCTCGCACCATCTCTTCCCACTCCCTGTGGCCTCACCAGGGCTGATGACGACTCTGCACCAGAACAAGTGATAGGTTCTGTATTTACAGGGAAACTCACAAAAATCTGGCATATAAAGAAAAAAATAATCCCACCAGCACAAACTGCAGCTAGTGCTAGTGGCCATGGGGCAGCTTATGTGTGGCCTTGGGTGGAGCAGTGGCCATTGGCAGAGGCCTGCACGGCCCCGGGGCTGCCCTCCAGCACCTGCTGCAGGTGTCCGGGGGTCAGATGGGGCTGGGGTCATGGTGCTGGGCAGGGGATGGCTCCCGCTGTTCTCCGCAGCCCTGCCGTGTTTGCCCCAGCAAGGCCCCCATCCTGCCCCATCGCTGGAGGCAGCCAGCTCTCCCTGGGGGCTCCGGGATGGGACGGCACTGGCCCTGCTCAAAGCTCTGCACCCCCTCCTCACCCAGCGCAGGGGGTCACGGCTTCTGCACCTTGACAGAGGAGGAGCTGGGGGCTGACTCCCTTCGCTTTCTCTACTCCAAGAGTGACATGGGAAACGAAAGAAAAATGAGGGTCAGCGGGCAGGAGTGCTCAGGTCTCAGGTCGTGGCAAACACACCCACTTGTCCCGGAACCTGGCCCAGAGCCGGTCGCAGGGCTCCAGCATCACACCTGGAAGGGCTCAGTGGACCACGCTGCCATCTGCCCAGCTGAAGGCAGAGCCAGGTCCTGGCATGATGGAAGGGACAGAGCTAATCCAGCAGTGACGAGGGGTTGGGATGGCACCCTCACAGGGGATGTCACCTCCCTGACACAGACAGGGCTTTGGGATGGTCATCTTTGTGGCGCAGGGTCCGGGAGCAAGCAGGAGAAAGGCTGAGCTCTGCAACAACCCAGTGGCCCCAGGAGCCCTGACCAAGCAAGCTGGCATGCAACAAGCCCTAAGGAGCAGGGCCTTGAGAGAGGGGCAAAGCAGCTCTGCACTACAGCCAGCTGTGTGCTCAGTGAGGGTTAGGGCAGAGCGTGGAAATGCTCCTCCGCCATCCAGACCTGCCATGAAGTGGCCCAGGAGCAGAGCAGGCGGCTGACAGAGAACCACAGTTCCTCAAAAAAATCACCTATTTTGTGGGCAGTATGTACCGACACGCGTGAGCGCAACTAGCAGGCTCTGGTGAGCCTCACCCTTCGTGGACAAGGTTTCAGGGCTGAATCCGGCCATAGGAAAGATGGGGTCATTCACACCAAACGAGGAGCATCACCCTAGTCATATCGCTGCACTGCACGTACTCAATGGCCAAGACCATGGCAGGGTCAGCACCCAAAGCCGGGCTCTGCGTGCATGGTGCCCCAGAGCCATCAGGTACCCCGTGTGCTGGGTGCTGTAGGGACACGTGGTGCCGCAGCCCTGGGGTCCCCACTGCACAGCGTGAGATCGGGTCCGGTTTGCGCAGCACATCGCAGGCAGTGGCAGAGTCGAGCACCGCAGCACACACCGCACAGGCACGGTGACTGCGGTCAGGTCGCTGCCGTGCCCAGCCCTGCGGCCATCCCCTGTCCCCAAAGGCCAGCAAGCACCCAGGGGATGGACAAGGCAGCACCAACACGCTCTCCAAAATGAGCGAGGCCTGCCCATCCCTGCTCCTCCAGCCCTGCCGGTCCCGCACGCGTGTGCTGCCGGCGGCAGTGTGCATGGTGGGAGGCCCCCTGCCTCCCCCGGTGGGAAGGCAGCCCCCGGTTCCTGTTGGGCAGACGGCAAACAGAGCATGGAATTTGCACGGCTAAAAGTTAAATACAACACACACACGGATTTCGTCAGACGCCCTGGCACGGCTACCTTCGCAGGATCCGATTAACGGGGAAATAAAAGGGCCAGAGAACCCACGCAGCAGCGTGAACAGATGCCCTATAAAAATCAAATATGTGGTAATCAAGGGGACCAAAAGGTACATTTAAAAAAAACAAAAACCCACCCTGGAAACAAAGGAGCTGAGCTTTGTGGCTTTCCTGGGAGGGCTGTGGAATTAATGGGGAAGAGCACATGTGTTTGATAATCTTTATATGGCAAAAGACCCATCTTTCAAATATGTCACAAATTCATATTAATCACCTTCCTATTGCCTGCTGTGGCGCAGCTATTCCAGTTGCCTTGGGCAAAATTGGGAACTGTCTGGTTAAAAAAAATGTTTTACATTATAATTTACAAGAGCTTACAAGTCTAGTTTCTTTTAATGGTAAGAACGATTAAAAAAAAAAAAAAAGAGAGGAATATAT